CATGTGTGGATTGGGATTTGTTTCTGGGCTTTTTTTTTTTTTTTTTTTTACAGGCAGAGTGGACAGTGAGAGAGACAGAGAGAAAGGTCTTCCTTTGCCGTTGGTTCACCCTCCAATGGCCGCCGCGGCCGGCGTGCTGCGGCCAGCGCACTGCGCTGATCCGATGGCAGGAGCCAGGAGCCAGGAGCCAGGTGCTTTTCCTGGTCTCCCATGGGGTGCAGGGCCCAAGCACCTGGGCCATCCTCCACTGCACTCCCTGGCCACAGCAGAGAGCTGGCCTGGAAGAGGGGCAACCGGGACAGAATCCAGCGCCCCAAAAGGGACTAGAACCCGGTGTGCCGGTGCCGCAAGGCGGAGGATTAGCCTAGTGAGCCGCGGTGCTGGCCTGGGCTTTGTTTTTTCTTCCATTACTGAGCCTATTTTTTGAAACAGTTTCATAACTTTAATGACAGTATTTTAATAAGCATATAAGTATCTAACAGTAGTCCTCCTTATTTTTTCAACAAATACTTAACTATTCTTGAAGCTTTACTCTATCTCATGAAATTTAGACTCAATTTTTGATGTTGAAAATAAATCAATGCTTTTCCAAATATTCAGAGTTAGATGGTCATCACTGCTAACTTCAAACATTCCTATCACCCCCCAAAGCCCTAGAGCAGTCACTCCTATTCTCGCCTTCCCAGTCTCTGGCACTCATTTATCTGCTTTGTCACGTAAGTTCAATCATACCATACATGAATTTTTAAATCTGCTGCTTTCAATCAACAGACTGTTTTCAAGCCTTATCCACATTACACCATGTATCAATACATCATTCCTGGGACCAGGGCTGCGGTGCAATGAGTTAAATCACTGCTTGTGAAGCTGGCATACTGAACTGTTGGTCCCAGGCTCAGCTACTCCATACTTCTGATCCAGCTTCCTGCTAATGCACCTGAGAAGGCAGGGGAAGTCAGCCCAAATACTTGGGCACTTGCCACCCACATGGGAGACAGGCATATACAGTTCCTGGTTCCTGACTTCAGCATGAGCCACCCTTGGCCATTGGAGCCATTTAGGCAGTGAACCAGAAGACAGACAATCTCTCTCTTTCTCATTTCTTACATCCCCCTGCATTTCAAATAAATATAAATGTTTTAAAAATATTCCATTCATGTTTTTACAGTCAATATTCCATTATATGGATATACTGGCCCTTGTGTTCCATTTCTCAGATGACAAACACTGGGTTGTTACCATGTTTGGCTATTATGAATAATGTGGCTATAAACATTTTAGGACAAGTTTTGATATGAATATGTTTTCAATTCTCTTGACTATACATGTAGCAGTGGAACTGTAGGGTCATATACAGTTAATTCCCTTCTTCTTCCCAAGAATAAAATACATCATTATTCACTACAGTTCTCTTTTTTCATATTTAGTAATTTTTTTAAGTTTTTTAAGGAAATGCCAGGCTCTTTTCTACAGGGACTTCACCTTTTTACATTCCTGCCAACCACATGTAAGGGTTCCAAATTCTCTACATCCTAACACTTATTACTATCTTATTCTATGTTAGCCATCATAATTGTTGTGAAGTGGCATCTCACTCACTTTGATTTTGCTTTGCATTTCCCTAAAAACTAATGATGTTGACTACTTCTCATGACTTTATTGGCCATCTGTGTATCTTTTTCTTGAGAAACAAGCCTTCATGCTTTTCAGGTGATACCATAGCAACTTTTAACTGTTAAATTCTGCTCAACAGTGATTATTTCTTCCTATTCTACCCTCAAAAATGTATTATATTTTAATATTTACTTAAGTGTCTATCCATTTAAATATATAAATATCATAGGGAACTATGGAAAATTAAAGCCTCATTATTCCAACCACAATAGGATTAACCATTTCTTATTCTCTGACTAGAAAACTAACAGATGTTTGCAACAAAAGATATAAGAAAAAATATCCATAACAACACTGTGTGTAGGTTTATATAAATATCAGTTCAGTGTTTATAAGGTCCCAGGCACTATTCCAAACACTTCAAAGTGTTTGCTGTCTCATTTTAAAAATGTATTGATGGGGCCAGCGTTGTGGTGCTGTAGGCTAAGCCTTCATCTGTGGCACCTGCATCCCATGTGGGTGCCAGTTCAAGGCCTGGCTGCTCCACTTCTGATCCAGCTCTTTGCTATGGCCTGGGAAAGCGGTGGTTGACAGCCTAGGTCCTTGAACCCCTGCACCCATATGAAATCCAGAGGCAGCTCTTAATGCCGGCTGTTGCGGCCCATTAGGAAGTGAACCAGCAGACAGAAGACTTCTCCCTTTGCCTCTCCTCTTTGTAACTGCCTTTTAAATAAATAAATAAATCTTAAAAAAAAAAAAAAAGTATTGAAGGGATCCAGCACTGTGGCGCAGTGGGTTAAACCCCTGGCCTGCAGTGCCAGCATCCCATATGGGTGCTGGTTTGAGTTCCAGCTGCTCCACTTCCAATCCAGCTCCCTATTGACGTGGCTGGAAGAGCAGCAGAGGATTGTCCAAGTCCTTGGGCCCCTGCACCCATGTGGGAGACCCGAAAGCAGCTCCCGGCTTTGGATCAACTCAGCTCTGGCCATTGCGGCCATTTGGGGAGTGAACCAGCAATGGAACACCTCTCTGTCGTTACCTCTCTCTGTAATTCTGTCTTTCAAATAAATAAAACAAACCTTTTTTAAAAGAAAAAAAGTATTAAAATTATATTAGATGTAGCCCATGTTTAGCTTTATATCCTAAACTAGTGTAAACATTTTCATTTAGTCTCTTAAAATACAATTTTTAGTTGGAACAACATATTTGAATTTATGATGGACTGTGATGTTACTAATCCCTTACCACTGCAGGGTTATTTTTTCACATTATAAATGCTTTTGTACTTCCCAACTTTTACTTAATATAACAATCAATGTTAATTGAGCACTTAGTTTGAGCAGTGATAGCCACTTTATGTTGATCCTTCCATTCAATTTGTATCCCTTGATTACATAGGAAGTATCATTCATTTCTACTTTACAGATGAGGAAACTGCAATTCAGAGAGACTATACAACTTCCTCAAAACTACACAGCAAACTGGTGGTAGAACCAGGATTCAAGTTAGGTCTGTATGACCATGGAGTAAAGCCTTAAATTCCTGAAAGCAGAAATGTTACAGATAAAAGCTCCTCTTTTAATAAGGCTCGTTAAATACTGCCCTTCAGTAAGATTATAACAATTCCTTTTTTTTTTTTAATTTTTTTTTTTTGACAGGCAGAGTGGACAGTGAGAGAGAGACAGAGAGAAAGGTCTTCCTTTGCCGTTGGTTCACCCTCCAATGGCCGCCGTGGCCGGCGCGCTGCAGCCGGCGCACTGCGCTGATCCAATGGCAGGAGCCAGGAGCCAGGTGCTTTTCCTGGTCTCCCATGGGGTGCAGGGCCCAAGCACCTGGGCCATCCTCCACTGCACTCCCTGGCCACAGCAGAGAGCTGGCCTGGAAGAGGGGCAACCGGGACTAGAACCCGGTGTGCCGGCGCCGCAAGGCGGAGGATTAGCCTAGTGAGCTGCGGCGCCGGCCAGATTATAACAATTCCTACAATACTCATTATCAGACCCTTAGCAATCCTGGGCTTCATCACTTAAAAAAAAATCATTTTCAAATTTCTAAATAAAACAAGTGTACTGATTTGATCAAACAAACTGGTACCCAATTTCACCTGAACTTTCTATCTATGGAGGAGAAAGGAACTAAAAATCAGTGAGTCGCTCTGTTAGGTGCCCAGTACTGCCCGTATGTCACCTGAAGTAATCCTCACAATAATCCACAGAACAGGCAAGAGAGTCTAAACATACCAAAACTTCACTTTCCTACACATAGTAGTGGGACCAGCATCTGAATTCAGGTCAGGGTGATTCTAAACCTCTGCTTTTCTTACTCAACTAGGTGACCTACCCTCTTGAAACTCAAAGCCATCTAACCTGGAAAGGAAAGACTACTCTCTTGTAATTGCTGGCTGAAGATCTCCTAGAGGTGAAAACTCTCTGGCCAAGAAACTAAGAAAGGAAAAAACCTGGGAAGGGAGATGTAGAAAGAATGGGGTGATAAGCTAAAACTACAGAATGCATCCCAACTAGTGTGAAAAACCAGCTGGGACACTGTGATCTTTGACTACACCTTATTTAATTGCCCCAAGCTTGAGAAGCTTTGTAGAATAGTGCCCTGTGCTCTCATGGTGCTGTAATACAGCAAGCAGAAAAGAAACAAATTGAACTGTGATGCTGTAGTATAGGAAAGCAGCACCAGGGCTATCTGGCTCTCATTCTGATAAACACTAAAGGGTGGAACTATGCTTAAGGTTGAACCACTAAAAATTCTATGGAAATATCTATCTCCTCATTTCTAAACTGAAAGGACCAGATCGTTTGTGTTTCCAACCCGGCTCTGTATCAAAATAACCCTCCAAGTTTGTGCAAAGTGATGTATTTAGATCCCACCCTCACTTTAGTAGACCTGGGATGGGACCTAGGAATTTGCATATACTCAGCAAGTTTGCTAACACCTGGGTAAGGTTTTTCTGCTTTCCTCCTTCCCTTTCCAGAAGAGGAAACTGCGGAAGGACAGCCAGCTGATGCAGCACAGTAAGTCTCATCACCAAAGACTACCAAAAAACAACTCCAAATCTACCAGGCTTAGTAATCCCCTCATTTCCTGTTTCCAGGCAAAGCAAACTCAATTCAGTCTTTCTCAAATAGTTCAACCTGCCTTTACTCTACCAACGAGTAAGCCTTAAGGGTGCCAACAACTACAATGGTGGGGAATGCAAACTTCTTTTTCAATTGCCCAGGTTTCTATGGAGGTTTTCAGCTCTTCTAAGATTCTTGGGCTACCAGATCATTAGTTCCTCTACTTCATTAAAGCCTTTTGGAAGCCGAGCTACTACTACCAAAAGATATTAAGGACACACAGACATGCTGCCCAGGGAGACTGAGTACCAGCCCTACCTTGACATCTAGCTTGGCCAGGTTTTGTAAAACCCAGATACGATGGGACCAGGCATTATAGTTGCTTGGATATCTCCCTGCTGCTTCACCACACACTTCCATCTCTTCTTGTATTAGTCGCTGGGTCCTTTCGGCAGGAGTTGTTTCCAAGATTCCTTTGGTCACAAAGGAAGGCAAGGAAGTTTCCTGAATTACCTGTTGTAGCACCCACCGCCTGTCAAAACAGCACACGCGAACCAGAACAAAGAAAAAACATAAACCACAAAGGCAAACAACCAGTTTTCTTAGTTCTTAATTTAATATCCATTAACAAACAAAGCAAAATAATATGTATCAATAAGCCTAGTCTTTTTGGAGATTGGGAGTGGTTCTAATTTTGTTCTTTGGGGGGGGGATAATTAAATTTAGCAGCATAGATGGAGGGGTTGGGAGAAAGATAAACAAGAAGGAAAAAAAATCTCTAAAATTTTAAAATCTCACAAAAAAAGAAAGTATCATCAGTTTCAAAATGACAGCTCCAGAGGCTGGCGCTGTGGCACAGTGGGTTAAAGCCCTGGCCTGAAGCACCAACTTCCCATATGGGTGCCAGTTCTAGTCCCAGCTGCTCCTCTTCCAATCCAGTTTTCTGCTATGGCCTGGGATAGCAGAAGATGGCCTAAGTCCTTGGGCCCCTGAACCCATGTGGGAGACCAGGAGGAAGCTCATGGCTCCTGGCTTTGGATCAGCGCAGCTCCAGCCATTGCAGCCATCTAGAGAGTTGAGCAGCAGATAGAAGACCTCTCTACCTCTCTCTGTAACTTTGTCTTCCAAATAACTTTAAAAAAAAATTTATAGCTCCAATCTCCACTTGGTCAGGAAATATGAAGGCATTAAGAGTTTGTGGTATTTTTCTTATGACTGGTTAAATACTAAAACAAGGGTCATGGCTCAGATTTTTAACTACATGCACTTGCTTCACCCAATGTGTATGAGTTTGCAAACAAGAAACTGCATTCTGACAGCTTTCATTAAGCACAATTTCTATATTACAGCAAAGTATTTGGAAGGATACAAATACAATATAACTAGTTAAACAATCACAGAGGGTTTAAAATGCTTTTATAAACAGATCTCCCCTCTGTCTAGTTGAGCTATGCATAACATGTACTTAAGTCAAAAGTACCAACTACTTAATCTGTACAATTTTGTTCATACAAATATTTTCCTCATATGAAAGCTTCCTTTTGGGCTAAAAATTTCCAACCTCAAAGGTACAGAAAACTGAATAAGCAAATTCATTTTGTCATTTTTTTTCATTTGGTAACTTTTAAATAATATTTAAAATTTTAACAATAGGATATTATTATATTTATAACTATAAAATACTGCCTTATAAAAAAAATTAGACAAGAGCCAGTGCTGTGGGACAGTGGGTTAAGCCACCACCTACAGCACCAGCATCCCATATTGGCACTGGTTAGAGTCCCGACTGCTCCACTTCCAATCCAGCTCCCTGTTTCCTGTGCTTAGGAAAGCAGTGGAAGATGGCCCAAGTGATTGGGCCTTTGCACCCAAGTGGGAGATTTCAGATGAAGCTCTTAGCTCCTGGCTTCAGCTTAGTCTAGCCCTGGCAGTTGCAGCTAGTTGGGGAATTAGACAGTGGATTCAAGATTTCTCTTTCTGTAACTATGCCTTTCAAATAAACAAATAAAGCTTTTTAGAAAAATTAGACCAGCCAATAAATTGGTGGATGCATATTCAACAGTTCCTTCACCTGCTATGATCCCTTTCCTCCTTCCTCAGAATCAAGTACCTCTCTGAGGTTTACTATCTAGGTTCCTCGTAGTAAGAAATAAAATACAACTGAAGGAGATTGCAATCCTAACCAAAGGTAAGGTAACAGGTAAGACACCTTGAACCAACACAAGTTCCTAAAGACACTCACAATTTAAGGAAACTTAACAGTAACTTAACGAACTAAGATCAGACTTCTTCGGAGTAACTTCTCCATTAATGCTGGCCAACAAACCCACACCATCCCATTTTAGCCAAACAAGAGTAGTTAGGAAGGATCCAAGAGGAAGATGCTGCCAGGCAGCCAGGACTGTGAGAGTCCTTATGTGCCTCAGGCTGGCTGACCAACTGTCTCAGGCTTGTAATCTAAAACTGTTCTTCGCATGTGTATTCTTAGCAACTTTAGCTTAGCCTACACTCCATCTCAGCCTTAATTTTCTCTGTAAATTAATTTTAATAACCAAAACCATCTACACTACCATCTTTATAAGGAACACAACTGAAAACTTCTAAAAACCCAAGGTGTTCATTAGAGTTGACTATCTAAATGCAATCTTCAAAACTGCTTCAGATACTTAGTAGTAACAGCTAACATTTATCGAGTATTTAATACACAGGTTTATATGTATTATCTCATGTAAACTCAAACACTACTCTACAAGACAGGTATAATTATTATTCCCATTTTACAAATGAAAAAACTGAGGCTCTGATAAATTAAATAATCCCCCATGTAGCAAGCAACAAACCTAGATTTAAATGTAGGTAACTTCACTACAGAACTCGTGCTTTGCAACACTGGCAGTCTGCCTCATACACTGTGCTTCTTTTTCCAGTCATCCTGAATTCTACAAAGACTGCTATGTTATAAATTAACCACACTGTGGCCAGCACTGTGGTGTAGTGGGCAAAGCCACCTCCTGTAGTGCCAGCATCCCATATGGGTGCTGGTTGGAGACCCGGCTGCTTCACTTTCAACCCAGATCTCTACTGTGGCCTGGGAAGGTAGAAGAAGATGGCCCCGGTCCTTGGGCCCCTGCACCCACGTGGGAAGAAGCTCCTAGTTTCGGATAGGCGCAGCTCCGACTATTGCAGCCAACTGGGGAGTGAACCAGTGGATGGAAGACCTCTCTCTCTCTCTCTCCTTCTCTGTATAGCTCTGGCTTTCAAATAAATAAATAAATCTTTGAAATAAATAAATAAATAAATTGACCACACCTGTGAATCCATGTTTCCGGACTCTTTGGAAACTTAGTTAAGGCCAATTTTCCAAGATGTAAATCTTTAATTGGATTTAAAGTGCCCGAGAGGATCAGTTCTTTCCTGCAAAAGAAAAAATTATTAAAGAAAAAAGCACTGTCTCCTCCTATCTAAACATTCTGCATAGCTTTTAACATAACTTCATTATGAAATGAATTTCCACAAATGAACAACAAAAACAAAGCTACTACTACATCAGAGTAATCAAGAATGCATTCTCAGAATCTCAAAATAAATTAATAAGAGAAGCTCTTAAATCAACAGTCGATCTTTAGTTAACTATTTCAGAGGGGACAAAAGTATTTTTGGCCTATCTCATTTTTTTTTTTTTTTTTTGAAAGGCAGAGTTAGACAGTGAGAGAGAGAGAGAGACAGAGAGAAAGGTCTTCCTTTTTTCTGTTGGTTCACCCCCGAAATGGCCACTACGGTTGGCGAGCTGCACCGATCCAAAGCCAGGATCCAGGTGCTTCCTCCTGATCTCCCATGCAGGTGCAGAGCCCAAGCACTTGGGCCATCCTCCACTGCCTTCCTGGGCCACAGCAGAGAGCTGGACTGGAAGAGGAGCAACCGGGACAGAATCAGTGCCCCAACCGGGACTAGAACCTGGGGTGCCGGCACCACAGGTGGAGGATTAGCCTAGTGAGCCTTGGCGCTGGCCGGCCTATCTCATTTCTAAGTATTACTGATCTGACAGCAATATCTGGGAGGCACACCGAATACTTGGTAAGGATTGCGCTAACTTCCTAAATAGTATATTGGTATGTTCTAGTTTATTATAAAAATATCCAAACCAAACATAGAAAATGGTATGTTTGAAATTAATGGGGGGAAAATCATTCACTGAGTCACTACCCTAACAGAACTACTATTTCTTATTTTAGAATTCTCTTCTATTGGCCGGTACCACAGCTCACTTGGCTAATCATCTGCCTGTGGCGCCGGCACCCCGGGTTCTAGTCCCAGTTGGGGCGCCAGATTCTCTCCCGTTAGCTCCTCTTCCAGTCCAGCTCTCTGCTGTGGCCCAGGAAGGCAGTGGAGGATGGCCCAAGTGCTTGGGCCCTGCACCCACGTGGGAGACCAGAAGGAAGCACCTGGCTCCTAGCTTCGGATCGGTGCAGTGCACCAGCCATAGGAGCCATTTGGGGGCTAAACCAACGGAAGGAAGACCTTTCTCTCTGTCTCTCTCTCTCTTCTCTCACTAAATCTGCCCTGTCGCATAGAAAAAAAAAAAAAAGCTCTTCTATCGTTCCTCATATGCAAATATTTTAACATAATTCACACATTGCTCTCATATCTTAAGAAGTTCCCTAAAGAACATTTGAAATGATCAAGTAATTTTCATTCAGTAACTATGCTATAATATAATGACATCTTCCTTTACTGTTACATATTTACACTGCTTCCAACTTTTTGATATTCTAAAAGAATTCTAGATACAGAAAAGACTTTGTAATTATGACTTCTTTGTTTTATGTTACTATGTAGAATAAGTTTTCAAGAGAGACATTACCAAGTAAAATACTTGATATTTTGATGCATTAGACTACGTCTTTTTTAAATAAGCAGCAGAAGCATCTTTAAGTGATGTAAGGTTTTTGCTGTTTTAAAACAGCAAGCTCAGTCAAAGCTTAAATGCAATTACAAAGGATGTCTCATAGAGTTCTGTATCTATTTTTCAGGTAAATACAATTTATGTTCAATTTCTCCAATTTTTAATCAGCACTGACATTACTGATTATGTACCCAATGTGTCCATTATTTTATAATATAACTGTTATTAGTCTAAAATGCCCTTCCTGTGGTAGTGATTATTTATTTTAGAGAAGTTTTTTTTGTTTGTTTGTTTGTTTTTCTGACAGGCAGAGTGGATAGTGAGAGAGAGAGACAGAGAGAAAGGTCTTCCTTTTTGCCGTTGGTTCACCCTCCAATGGCCGCCACGGCTGGCGCACTGCGGCCGGCACATGCACTGACCCGAAGGCAGAAGCCAGGTGCTTCTCCTGGTCTCCCATGGGGTGCAGGGCCCAAGCACTTGGGCCATCCTCTACTGCCTTCCCGGGCCAAAGCAGAGAGCTGGCCTGGAAGAGGGGCAACTGGGAAAGAATCCAGCGTCCCAACCGGGACTAGAACCCGGTGTGCCAGCGCCACTAGGTGGAGGATTAGCCTATTGAGCCGCGGCGCCGGCCTATTTTAGAGAAGTTTAAGACAAACAAAACCAAAGTCCATCTTTTATACATCGCTTACTTAGATAGATTTAGTTCCAAATCGCAACCCTACCTTCTTTCCAACAATAAACTATTTCTATATTTTTATAAGAAAAATAACTTCCTCTTTCCTGAAAATATTAAGCAGTGATTATTAAATGAATGCACTTTATAAACATTTTTTTTTTTTTTTACAGGCAGAGTGGACAGTGAGAGAGAGAGAGAGACAGAGAGAAAGGTCTTCCTTTGCCATTGGTTCACCCTCCAATGGCCGCCGCGGCCAGTGTGCTGCGCCCGGCGCACCACGCTGATCCGATGGCAGGAACCAGGTGCTTCTCCTGGTCTCCCATGGGGTGCAGGGCCCAAGCACTTGGGCCATCCTCCACTGCACTCCCGGCCACAGCAGAGAGCTGGCCTGGAAGAGGGGCAACCGGGACAGAATCCGGCGCCCCGACCGGGACTAGAACCCGGTGTGCCGGCGCCGCAAGGCGGAGGATTAGCCTGTTGAGCCACGGCGCCGGCACATTTTTAGATTAATAACTTCACCTTTTAAAATACTTTGAATATCCAGAAAGTTATTAGTAATTTTAGTGATTGAACTATTTTCCTTTCAATGTACAGGAATCCTATTTGTCATTTAAAAAATCTAAATGCAACAGCCAATTATTTTTTTAGTCATCAGTGACATTTTGTTTATATGTACATGTCAAGATACCTTGAAGTAAAGAGGCACAGAAAAGCCTGCTCTAAGTGCTTCTCAAGGTGGAGTCCCTGCCTACAGCATCAGCAAAATCTGCTTCTGAGAAATGCAATGCTCAGGCCTCACCCCAAACCCACTGTTCAGAAACAGGTGGGCAAAGCACCTTGTGTTCAGAGAGCCCTTCAGGTGATCTGCATTAAATATTAAAACCACTACTGTACAGAATATATTGTATCAAGCTTAATTTCCATTTACTAACTTTAAGACCATTCCTTATTTATAAATGGTGCCTTCCTTTACAGACACATATACTCAGAAAAAAAGAGGAAATAATCAAAATTTGCTTCAGAAAAGACCTTGTCATTAAATTACAAAGTTTCTTAAATTCTGAGCACTCTACTAATTTCCACATTTTGAACAAAAAAGTAGTATTTTGGAAAGACATCTTAGCCTGAATAAATACCTGAATAAATGGTATATTTAGACACTTAAAAAGATCATTTGATAATATAACAACAAAATTTTATTAACAATTTAATGAACTTTCTTGGAGATGCGATACTGTTGTTACCAGTTTTTTAAAAATCAGCTTAAAAAGAAATATGCTAAGTGGTTAAGTTGTAGCATTCACTTTACCTAAAGGTACTGTAAAAAAAAAAAATAGCTGCTCTAATGAATCTTCAGACTCATACAGGAATCTGACTTGAGAAAATTTACTTATCACGCATGAAGTCATAAAGCACTGCAATGCCAACAACTTAAAACATAATGGGCTCTGGAAAACCCTGCTAGGTAATCAGAAAAAAAGCTCTCATAAGCATTTCAGGCATGGGAAGCCAAGACACAGTGGCAAAAAATGATCTACATGAAGGATCTCTGTGAGTGAGATTCCAGTGGAAAGAAGGAGCCATCAAAGAAGGATGTACTTTTCTCTGGAGGGAGAAGAGAACTTCTACTTTGACTATGGCTCTGTCTAAATACTGACAGTCTGTGGACTCAAAAGGCTTCCATAGCCTTGGCAGCTCATGACAAAGGCTTTGGGTGATTACTGATGTCATAAATAAGAGTGTCAATTGTTAAATCAACAGCAGCATTCACTGGACACTTACTCCCCATGTAGGATCTTTGTCGTTAACGAATTGTACTATGAGAATTAACAGTAAAACTAGCCTTCAAACAGTACTTTATACTTTGTGTGTCAGTGTGGGTGCAAACTGTTGAAATCTTTACTTGGTATAGAGTTAGTCTTCTGTATATAAAAATAAGTAAAAATGAATCTTAATGAAGGATGGGATGAGAGAGGAAGTAGGAGGTGGGACAGGAGTGGGAGTGGGAGGGCGGGTATGGAAGGAAGAACCCCTACATTCCCAAAGCTGTACCTATGAAATTTGTATTCATTAAATAAAGCATTCTTAAAAAAAAAAAAAAAAAGGAGAGCTCTCCTAATGACAAAGTCATTGATATCAATAAAGTGTGTGAGGAGTTTGAATAAAACTGATCAAATGTAAGGAAAAATTTATCATAAAATATTGTACATGTTGTTTCAAAGTTGTGTAAGAGTAACTACCACAAGAAGGCATTTACTTATTTTAGGTGTGTCTCTTAAAAGCTTTCATGTTGGTATGTGCTCAAAAAGCATTTTCCTGGATTTTTCTTTCCAACACACTGAAAAAGCCTCACTTCTACTTTAATGTTTGAACCTTAGGTGGCACACTGCTAAGAGAAGAGTGAGAAATAGAGCAAAAGTCATCAAATGTGGAGAATTCTAGGAGAGGAAAAGGTACAAATTATTCTAGGATAGATAACAGGACTGATAAGGAACAGTGCTATGGAACTTTGTTGTGTGACAAAAATATGTAAGTTAGGGCTACCTTCTTTTACAACAGGGGTGGGGATCATCTAGCCTGTGAAATCATTTGGTCTGACTCCTGAGAATTTACTCAAAGGAAATGAAATCAGCATATGAGAGTGAACCGTACTCCCATGATTATTGTAGCTCAATTCACAGTAGCTAAGATATGGAATCAACCCAGATGTCCATCAACTGAAGACTGGATAAAGAAATTATGGGACATGTACACCATGTAACATTACTCAATGATAAAAAAAAAATTAAATCCTGTCATTTACAACAAAATGGATGAAACTGGAAAACATCATAC